TTATGGTCCAAATCCATGTTAATAGATAATTATTATTTTTAAATATATTTTTGAAACTGCTGGTTTTAGTAATTATTAAATTAAACAATTCTTAACCATAGCCCCAAAAAATGCAGATCTCCTGTCAACTTTCTTTATTTTTTATTTATTCATTATTTTCCTAGTGACGTCACAGGTGGTATGCGCGAACTGAACGAAATTGGAGCCGCTATCGATCATACCTTGTATTCTTTGTACCATGGGTTACATAAAGGTTTTCTAGGTGACTAAAAGTAGCCATAAACACCCCGGCATTTATAATGGCGATTTGTATCACCTTTAGTTGTATAAAACACTAAAATTGGTGTTTTAAATAACCCAAACTCATTTACGCAACCTTAAGTAACCAAATTTATATAATGGTTGATGAGTATGTTATAGACCTTAAAATAATATATAGCACTTTAAATATAATGGACGCCATTATTATTGATGTTTTCATTTTTGGCTACAATGAGTATTTCTAAGATAACGTTGAAAACTGGTACAAAACTATATTTTGGCCAGTTGCCAGTTATTTCTATGTATTAAAAAAGTCGTATGTTCTATTATTTATATTAATAAATTTGAGTTTCATTACAAAAATTTTACCATATTTTTTTGTTTATAAAAAAATCTATTAGATAATTCTGCTTTTGGGGGCGCATGTGTTTTTTGGAGGTAAAATTGATTTTCACACAGTAAATTTAATATCGCATATGTATTTAGTACTCTGGATAGGCACAATAGCTGTTATTAAGCCAGTAATTTCTATAAAGTCATTTGCATAACGCAAACGCTTTTGTAGGCCATAACAGGGATGGCGTCATTTTGTCTCATTTGTTTCTGGTCTGGATTATCTGCGTAGGACAACTTGGAGCAATAAGATCATATCTGCTTTTTATGTTAAAAAAAGAGGCAAATATTAAAGTAGTTAGTCAGAAAGAAACAAGTATATTTTCAAAAAACGCGCATGCGCGATATTTCTATGGAGGTAGTCTGTGGGAACCTTCTCAACACCACTATATAACTTTTATATACCCTTTTTCAGTTTTATAGCGGTAACTCGATAGGATATATAAAGGTGTTGAGAAAGTTTTCAGGACTTTGGTTGCACACCTTGAGTGTTAAGGGTTACCACAGGAACAGTTATAAAATGGACCGTTTAGGGCATATAAGTGTTATATAATGGTTACCAATAACTCACGACAACCATTCTAGATGCCATTAGGTTGTATAATATGGTGTTGGGAAGTTTCCTAACACACTTATAAAACAAAAAATGCTTCTTGGGTTATATCATACTTATTTGCGCGATCTCCATCCTATACTGTATAATAAGCTTACATATACAAAAATAAGAGATGATTTCAGGTGGATAGTGTGCTACTACCAGGGCTACTAAGTCACTAGGGTACAGTGTACAGTTACCAGGGTACAGTGTCACTGATTATTTTAATAGATAAATTTGTGTTTATTGTAGATATTTAGAATTTTATATGACATTTTGTGATTGCTTTATTATATTTACAGATTGTGTAAGTTATTTTTTTATATGTACAGGCAGTCCTCGATTTACGTCGTTTCGAGTTACGTCGAACAAATTTTTGTCACTATTCGTCAAAGTTACGTCCCCCTGTTTCAAGTTACGTCATTTTTTGAAAGGAACGATCCAAATTTTAAAAGAAATTTGGACATAAACAATAAAATTTTAGCAACATACAAGCAGGGTAGACAGATCCTCATAATGAAAAAGCGGGACAGTGTTGATCATTACTTAATTAGAAACTATTACGACTTTAGACGATATCCACAATAAAAGTTCCAACCAAAAAAAATAAATATATACTTTCTAAATATGTCGACTTTGACTCTACTTACTATTATATTTACGATTATATGGATAGTTAAAAATACTTTTTTGATTAGATAATGAAAAAGCGGGACTGTAAAAATACTTTTTTTATATATATTTTTTTCTTGTATTTTTTTTCTTGTATTTCTAAGTTTAGCTGCATTACAATACACTGTTTCTCATACCTCAATTATTTAAAAATACAATAATATTAATATATACAAACGCACATCTCTTTGTTATATTGTATTTTTATCTTACAAAAGTACCTAACTTCTCCATTTTTTATAGGATCTTATGACAAAATAAGATTCGACTTAACGTCGTTTCGACTTAAGGCGCTATTTTGAAGAACCTAACCTGCCCTAAGTACGAGGACTGCCTGTATATTTCTGAAGTACTCCTAGATCATTGTATTTGATCATGGGAACAAATAAACTTTTATTATTATTATTATTATATTTTGAATCAATATGTTATAATGTAATAATCTTGGTCTAGAATGTAAAACTGAATTTTAACCAATGGGGGCAAATTACTCATCTACCAAAATATTATAGCTAAATTAGATACTAAAAATTTAATATACTTTTTAATAAAATGAAATGCGAAAAATGTTGCAATCATCTCTAATCTATCAAAGGCTGGACACTTTATATGCCTAAATGGTGATATCAAGAACCCAGGTCAAGATACATATTAGCTACAGGACGTCCAAGAAAGAATAGGTCTATTAGTCATTTATATGATCTTATATTAGATCAACACAAAATACCTGTAATATAGTTACAGGTCTTTTGACGTTAAGATAATGACATTAAGAACAACGCATTCATTACAAAGATTTTGCAATATTCAATTGATTAACTAAATTGTTCAAGAAATAAAATTATTCCAAACTTTAACGAAGCAGGCTTTTTTCTAACGTTTTCTATTATCAGATTATATTTCAGAAAACCTAAGTTAGTTAAGGCCCTAAAAAAAGTTAGGCCGTGTTGCTATGTGGCGGACTAAAAGATTTTTCACAGCCGTCTAGACGATTCTTTATTTTTCTATTATCCCCGGCAAAAATGTTTCTGGAACTTTGGCTTTCAGCCATTTAATTATATTTTTCTCTTTTAGCTACTGATCAGGAGAGTTTGAGGAAAAATGTCAATTTACGAAACTATGACGATTTGCGCGATCTTTGGCTTGTATTTCAGGGTGTTATTGCTTTTGTTACAAATTCTTTGTGTTTTTGTCACCAAGATTTACAACAGTAATAGAATGGAGAGTCCAGAAATATATAGGGTGAAGAGATGAAGAATTAAATGCTTGAGCAAAATATTTTCTAAATAATGTCTGTACCTTTATGGCGGGTTCATTTCTTGAAAAAAAGTTTTCTTGCCACTAGAACAAAATTTACGAATTTATTTATTTTTTGTAAATTCCAGTGTGTTGAATACAAGCGGAAACCAGCTTGTCAGTGGTTTTTACTAGTACTAAACTTTTTGCACATGATTTTTGTGTTTAATTTTTTTTATGCTATTCTATATTTATTTATGTTTAAAATTGTTGACTGAAACATGGTATTTTCTAATATTAAAAGTAGTTCGTAAAGTGGTGATAAGAGACAATAATTCTCAACATTTATTCATTCAGAAAGGTATTCAAAGTAATGTGCGCTTTTCAATGTGTTTTGTAAATCAGTGGTTCAAATTGTGATGAAGCCTATATGAAAATAATGTGTTAGATATGGGGACTGTTATTTTAGCACTTATTATAATAGCATGTACAAGTAAAACAGCATAGTGAAGTGTATTTTAGTTAAATATGTATCGAAAAAGAGAACTGTCACAGTTACATCGATCTGTCATAAGTATCTTTTTTAATGTTTTTTTTTTATTTATTTTGTGTAATAATATCACAATCTTAAAAATGTAATGCATCTCTGCAATCTCGACCAAACTCGTCAGGTGGTGTGATTTTGTGATTTATTTTTATGCAAATACTTTCTTGTCGATATGGCAACACAGGGCGTCGAATTACCTGAGATCCGGGCTTGATCCGGGTAATTGGATGTAGTTGGTGATAATCTGCCGGCGGCGGCGGTTCTCAAAATGTTGCTATTATTTTTTTTTAAATTTGAAAGTTAAATACCTTGGTTATTTTCAATTTATCTTAAAAATGGCAAAGAGAAAATATGTTTATTTTGACCAGATCTACCATCTCTTAAAATACTTATTTCACTTATTTCTGGGACACCCTGTATTTATTAAAATAAAAGAGGCGATAGCCAGCTAACCTCTACAGATGTCTGAGCAATATATGTATTTATTATTATTTATAATAGATCTAAAAGCCTAAAAGGCTCATGGCTTGATTGGTTATCTTCCTCCATTTGTTTCTGTCTTTCGCCTATTCTCCACCCATCCACTCTTATACTTCTCAAATCCTCTTCAGCATCCTTTTTCCATCTGGTTCTCGGTTTACCCCTCCTTCTCTTTCCACCTATTTCACTTTTCATTATCATACTAGGAATTCTTGTTTGAGCCATTCTCTCAATATGTCCCAACCATCTCAGTCTTTGTGCTCTTGCTACTCCCGTTATACTGGGTGCCTGATTTAATTCTGCATTTATTTTTCTGGTCTATATGTTGTCTATCTTCTTTCCTCAAAAAATCTTGCTCAGTATTTTTCTTTCCCAAATCTCTAGCCTCGAACTTTCCATTGCATTGAACGTCTACATTTCACATGCTATGTAAACCTTATGTATTTATTAGATTGTATTAATAAAGTTTCTTTTTTTTTCGCTTAGAGGCTATCGATTTATTGATTATAATGTTTGCATTGGTAAATATACGCCGTAGCTTGTGGCCACACGTATGCTCACAAATCTTTTTCTTGCACCCTTTTTTATATAATATTTATATACTTAATTGTGTTATCTCTTAATTCTCTTAATTCATTAATTAATTAATGAACATTTAACCTTGATGATTCACTAATATAAAATTTCTCACATTCACATGGTATTTTGTATATTACATTTTTTGTTTGATAACATGATAGTGTACTAAACCTTAATTCTAAAATTAACTACTTCAGTCAATAAAATAACACTAATTTGAAAAGAATTATTCTTTATTACATCTTTAATACAGAGCCGGTTTCAAGATACAGTAAATAAAAGTTAAATATCGTTACTTAGTGGCTAAACAAAATCATTGTTACTGTTTTAATTTGCATCAAATTATTATTAGGTACCCATAACCAAAAACCAAAATATCACAGCTAAATTACTAAAAATTTAATATACTTTTTAATAAAATGAAATGCGAAAAATGTTGCAATCATCTCTAACCTCTCAAAAACTGGACACTTTATATGCCTAAATCGTTATATCGAGAACCCAGGTCAAGATACATATTAGCTACAGGACGTCGAAGAAAGAATATGTCTAGTTATTTATATGATCTAACATAGTTACAAGTCTTTTGAGGTTAAGATTCTTTTGCGACATTTCGCGCCGTAGGATTAGAACGCTCGTTTGTATAAATTAATTTAAAGCTGTCGTTCCGTAAGACTTCCATTGGCTGGTTCTCCTAAAACTAAGCCTGCTATGATCTCAGACCCATTCCGTTTATCATAATGTTCGCCAGGGCGTTACGTCGTTTCCGCCATGCGCCCATTCCCTGGGCATGGTTCTGCAGCTTTTTGTACCAGAGGTGGGTTTGGTCATCATCATCCGCCTAAAACAAAATAATAAATATATGGTTTATGTAGTATTCGCCAAAATGTTTAAAAATTACTAAAATTTACGCAGAACACTTAGATTGAATATATTAAAATATAGAAGAACGCCACTGGCATTGGTTGGATGTTTTCTCCACATACATACTACACATACATACACTACAACAAAGTTTTTCCGATAAAAAAAGTCTTTATTTACACAGTCTACTTTTCGAGTATCATCTAGCCGAAATTAGCTTTAACAATATCGCTTTGCAAAGAAGTTGAGGATTTGAGGTTGTAATTATTGCGAATATTTGGCTTGATTTCTTCCAAATTTTATGTATTTTTTTCAGATATTTATAGAATTATTTCAACAGAAATATAAATTTCTCAAAAAAATTATACGATTCAGGAAACCGGTTGCTGAAGTCGTACCACTATTATGCCTACCTATATCGTACTTAACATCTGAAATATATTTGAAATATACATATTCATACTTAACCGTAATATTAGAGTACTTTAAAAAATAACCTCAAGCCTATCAAGCCTCAATTAGGCATCGGTTTGGACATTTTTATCTACAGACCAAATGCTCAAAAATATATTTGCGATCCTTACAGCTCCACCATAAAATTCAATTTATTTACTTATTTACTTATTTAACTTATTAAACCTGCTACTTTCCCAGACGGTGGCACAATTTATGCACCACGTAAGTACAGTACGCCTATCCGTTCTGTAGCTACGGGGTATCCGTGAGAGGGGAAACAATATTCTCTCCATGTTTTTCGTAAAAAATTAGACGACGCGTCCCATCAATAAAAATTCGACAAATTTGCAAGTAGCCAATAAAATGAGTGGGCGGAGCGATTTGCGGTGACGTACTCGTCAAGTCGACGTATAAAATATATCGCTGTTTATTTAAATATTTTTGTCCGCATTCCTTTCATAGACGCATCGTCTAATATTTACGAAAAACATGGAGAGAATATCGTTTCCCCTCTCACGGATACCCCGTAGCTACAGAACGGATAGGCGTACTGTAGACACAACGTTGGCAGACGCGTGCCTACCTAGTACCTAAGTTGTGCCTACGTTGTGCTATTACGGTATTGCCAGATATCATCTCATCTCACTTATAAAATCAGTAGATTTAGGGAAAAAATGCTTTCTTCAGACACGCATGCTATTTGAAAAAGATCTTAGGTTTTACACAACTGAATTACAAACCAAATGTACTGCAAGCTATCTTGCTAATGCAGTTTGAGACCAGACATTGAAGAAGTACGATTTAGGAGCCAATACGGTATAGACAAATAGACAACTCCCAAGAATCAGCCAAAGTGATAAGTGTATATTGATGAAAATAGGTTAACAAGTGACACAATGACTTAACAAGACGATTTTACTCTGATTACAGTGATACACTGTAAATCCCCCCTAAAGTCGTATTTAAAAAAACCTCAGCATTACGAGATCAATTTATACATATTTTTCATCCAATAAAAACACACGCATCTAATATTATGAAGTTCATAACAGGAAAAACAACAAACTTGATTAAAGGTTAAAAAGCTTTTTTGTTTTGAAAAATAATATAATTTTTTTGCAAGGCATAAAAGTATTTCTGTGTTTTTGCTTTTCGAAAATATTTTATATAAAATTTTCCGGGAAAAAAATAAATATACATTTTTTGTCGACCATTATTTATCTTTATTATGTTTTATTCCTGCTTATGTATTTATTTTTAAATGTGTTTACTTATAATACCCTTTACATTAAAATTTTTAAATTATTCAGGTAAACATGTATATTTTAGCAGACAACATAAATTTTAAATAGTTAAATTTACTTAAAAAAATCTCACATATTTAAAATATAAGTAGGTATGTAGTAGAATAATATAGTGTGTCAAACTCTTGAATATAAACATGATTAGAATGTCAGGATTAATCGTTCAAACTATAGAGGTGATTTGGAGATAATAGTATGGTCAACTCATCTAAAATTGCTGTCAATCTATAGTTAGACGGCTTCTCTGTATTTTCTAATGTGTCTATCACAGATTTTACTTTAATTTGAATTTGCATTTGCTGAGGGAAATCTAACGTTGCGTATTACTGTTCAAAATTTTATAGTCTTGAACTGCTAAAGTTGTTCATGTTAATGATTATGATTTTATTTTTAATGCTTTACAAATTATACCAGACAGGGATTATAAACTGCGTAATATTTTACAAACAGTATATGAGAAAGTCGCCTATACTCCCCCACTACCGGCTCCTAAGATGTATCTCTGCAATATATCATTTATAATTTCATTGGCGAGACACTTTGTGGCCTACCTTGTGGTTTATTTAGTAACCCCAACAGTACGTCCAGTAAGTAATACCTTTACTTTTACTTTTAGTATACCAGTAAGATCTTTCTCAAGTAGCACACAAGTGTTTGAAAAAATAATACATGCCAAAGATTATTTGTACCTGTGCTCTTTATGACTTATGGTAAGTGATGCATAACTTGAGGGAATGTACCTAATTAAAGATGTGTATTTTTGGGAGTTACTAGAGTCTGTTTTCTTACATTCTTATATTCCATATGGATAAACATTAACTTATACTTCTAAATAAACCGACAAATAATTTATTTTATTATAATATATGTTTAATATGATGTTGTTCAATGATGTTGCCGAAACAGTACCTCTGTATGATTGCTCAATTAGTACCATTACGAGGATTTAGGAAAATAACATGTTTATTAGAGGAATCTTACGATAGAGAGAGAGCCTAAGTATAAAAAATATTATAAATGGATATTGGAGGTGTAGCATATTATGGTCTGTAGACAGAAATGTTTAGACAGCGCCAGCGTTTTGTGACTTGCAACCAGCGTTTTGTAACTTGCGTAAAAAGAGATAAAAATAAATCTTTGGTAGATGAGTTTATTGGCAAGCTAAATCCCGATGTTACTTTTTAAAACCACTCCAAAATTACGGTTATATATGATATAGATATGTTTCAGATATATTTCGCATGGTAAGGTCGATATACGGGGGTGATTCACGGCCATGGCACGTTAGACGTTTATGGAGAACCAGTAAAAGTATTTTTTAAAAATTTAACCAAACTAAATATTGTCAAAAATCACATTCACGCAGTCCGAAAAATTTGGTATTTTTTACTTTTGTGCAAAGTGGTATGGTTTAGCGTTAAGCTTTATTTTAAAAAGAATTATACATTTTATCATATTCTTGTTTTAATCGTTTTGTATTTATCTAATCGAATTTATCTTCGATATATTAACAAAAATATTAGTAAATTCTTCACAAAGTGATAGAAATAAGTATAAGCATAGATCATAAATTACCTTAAAAATAAACGTATCCTTTCCGAGTAATTCCTGGACTTCAAAGTAACTCTGCCAGGCTGGATCGGCAGCAATTACACACCTATCCAGATACAGCGGCTCTCTTAATAAAGAGTAGCGCCCATTTTTATCCCTGACCAGCAACAGCGCAGCATCCCTCACTCCAGAGCTTTTTGCTGAGAAAACCAGATTGCTGTCTTCGATTTTATCGGTTGGAGGTTTGGAAATTGACGACGTCGTCTACAAGAAAGAAAATAAGGTTAGTACAGTTCGTCTGCTGGATCTGTGTCTATGAAAGGAATGCGGACAAAAAACATTTAAATAAATAGCAATATATTTTATACGTCGACTTGACGAGTACGTCACCGCAAATCGCTCCGCCCACTCATTTTATTGGCTACTTGCAAATTTGTCGAATTTTTATTGATGGGACGCGTCGTCTATTTTTTTACGAAAAACATCGAGAGAATATCGTTTCCCCTCTCACGGATACCCCGTAGCTACAGAACGGACAGACGTACTATAGTTAACCAACTGTTGAAACATTGTATCAAGAAAAATATAAAATATACACATTTTTAGAAGGTAATTATTATTCTAATCCTATTAAATGAATTCAATATTCTTTTTGCTATAAATATCAACCGCAGTTGTAGGGTATGTGTAGCATGTAATTTAAAAAGATATAAATCCGTATAACATCTCTTACAATTCTCAAATAACATCCAAACTAAATTTATAGTTGTTAAAACTAAAAGGTTTACGAAAGGTATTGACTTTAATAGTTACAGAGAGCATTCAGCAGATGCCATTAACAACATTGTCAAAGTTTAAATTTGCTTTATTCAAACACTGATTAATTTGTTATATTTCAGCTCAAACTCTACGGAGGGATAATTGTTTCATAACCTTATATACATAGTTACTGTGTTTAATTACTAGCTAATTAAGTTTTGTAAACTAGGAGTGCTAAACAAGTTTGAAATTGAGGTAATTTTGAATAATATGAATAGGTGTAACAGCATAAAAACAGGTATTGTCTAATCCCAGGTAAGCATTTTTTTAAAACCGCTTGATGATTCGTTGAAAGTTTATATTTTGTCAACATTCCACAATAAAAATAATGTCTTTGAATGTGACAGACCATGATTCAATTAAAATAATTTCGAACTATCATTGTCTTTATTTTATTTAACTTTTATAACATTTCAATCAGAGTTCAAGTGTAAACTAAACTAAACTAAAAGTGCTAAAATTACTGCACTTGGATATATGGTCTCCTTTCTTACGTAAAAATGTAACTAAAAAAGCGAAAAAGTCAGTTACCCCACTTGAGGCTTCCCTACAGGCAAAACTTGTGCCTCACAAAGTGTTATAACTGGATCTATCACGGTATCAAGGCAGTGATAATATTTAGATATACAGGTATTTTTTTTATTTTATTTTCTCCTAATAAATGTTTTAAATGCCAGTTACGCCAGTATATGAGAGAGGGGGCTATAAAAATATTTCATCCCTTACTGGTGACATAACTTTATTTATATTATTTAGAAAATTATAGTTTCTCAATAAAATAAGAATATAAAATCAACAAACGATTTTTTTCTGAAAAACACTGTCAGGTATACCGTGCTGGCAACTGTTACTTTTGGGTCGGCATTTACATGTGTGGAAGTAAATCGCATAGGGATCATATTAAGTCGGAGTGAGAGAAATGCGACGGTGTGCTTTTGCGGCGTTGCCGGTACGCCTCTCCCTATGAAGTAAAGTAAAATCACGATCAACAACCAAACCGCTTATTTTTAAAAGACTTTTTTTTCGAGCGATAACTAGATAAAATCATTAGACATGTTTCTGAGCATCTGAAATGGAATTATAAGGATATCGTTAAGGTGTCATTTTTTTATAACAGTTTCTAGCTTGCACTTAAAAAAAATCAAGCTATAGGGAAAATTAGAAGAACTCGTTAATAAATAAACAAATTAAGTATCACGAGACGTAATTAAATAGTGAATCTGAACGCATGACGTACACCTTTCCCTAGAACTTTCAGTACTGACAGAGGTATTGATTGGGTCGACCGGTCAACTGCGACAAAGCTGTTATATCCCGTTCCACGTCTCTTAGCGATGTGCACAGTTTCTCGATTTATTTCATACGTTTAGCAACGTGTTTACTGTCCTCTCTTTGTTCATTACATTATAAACACATTGTACTCTTCTTACATACGGAAATCTCGACCCAAGACTAACCTTCGCCAGCCCTTAGTAGAATAAAAATGTAAATGTATGTAAGAATGTAAAAATAAAAAAGTAGGCATATCAATCTGAAGCAACGCCAGTCAACATCTTGATCAATCTCAAATTGAGATAGCAATTTCCTTCTAGCAGAGCCATTATAAAACAAGAAGAAGAAGATGAAAGTTATTGACAACTTGCGGTTTTCTGGTAGTGGTCACATATTGAAAAAAGAGTGAATCTATTGTAAGAATTGCAATAACAAAATATTGTTCTTACCTTTCCATTTACCACCAACAAGGCATTAACAGGCGTCAGTTTTATCGTTCTCCCTTTTCTCCAATAATTATCAGTTGGCTGTGTAAAAAGCAACTTCCCTTCCAAAACAAATCTCGCTTCGTCGTGATTCCATTCCAACACGTCAACCGCTATCTTTCTCAATTTAATATTCACCAAGTCCATCTCCGTACTCGGCCTCCTCCCAGAATTATTCCCTATCCTCCTCCACAATTTACTAGGCACATCTTTCGTTTCCGAGTTCATATGGTTCAAATGCAGTTCAATTTTATGTTGAGCCTCTTTTAAATGTTCCCTTGTATTGTAATGTGACGGCGTTACTTTATAGAGCCTGGCGAGTAATAACGGGTATTTAGTCACTCTCTGAACCGGAACCATCAAGAAGGAATTTAGGTTCATCCGTCGTAGCATAGTGTTCTCCATTTGGGAGACTCTCAGAAAGATTCTGAGTAGTTCCTTTTCTTTTTCTAGACTAGCTAACAATAAACTGGCAGTGCCTTGTCGGACGCAGTAAGTTTCAAAAGCATGAAGCATTGGCGCGGCTTCTAGGAACAGTTTACCGATATTTACAGTCAGGAGGTCGTCGTCTCCTTGTTCTAAAGCTATCTCTACCGCGTCTCTTAACCTTTCTGCTAGGGCCTGGCTGTTTTCTAATAACTCTTCTACGTTGAGGAAAATCGTTGATAACTGATCAGGTGTTAAAAGGCCAGCCACCAACATAGGTTGATAGAACTCCTCTAATATGATTTGTAGATCCTTACTGTATTTTTCTTCAGTTTCCACAATTTCTGTTATGATTTCCTTACGTTCTGACCGTTTCTTCAAACATTTTCTACATAAGAGAGAATCATTTTCTGTTTTCGATTCTAACGTCGACTCGCAATCTTCACAACAAGCAAAAATCTCAGGTTTACTCCTGTATTTACTCAAACTGGTTTTACTGGTCTCCGATCCTACTCCGGAATCATTTCTTTCCACTTCTGCTGGTTTTTGGAAGGTTGCTTTTTCATCTATGAGTGCGCCTGAGATGATTAGAGAATTGTCTTCACTGGAATCACTGACCGTACTCATGTGGGATACTCTGTTGTATGGTTCTTTGGTTTCGTCTTCTGTGTTGCTGCCGGTGTTGTAATTGTATGTGTAGCCGTCTTCTTGTACGATGCCGCGTTCTTTTGCATCCACCAAGTAACTGAGGATGTCATACTTTGAAGCTCCCTCAAAAATTGATCTAAAAAAAATAGAGAAAAGCTTTAATATCATTATTTATTAAGCATATTAATTTTAAATAGTTAAATGATAATTCGAAACTTAGTAGCATTTTACAAACAACAGGTATTGTATAGAAAAAAAGTGTTTCTTATTTATAAGGAGTGATCTACAATGATTGAAACAGTTCACAAAACTGTATTAAAGGATAATAAACATGTAAAAATTCTCACTAATAATTTCAAATGTACTGTGTTGTATATTGGATACCTTCTAACAAACATTTTTTTGGAATAAATCTAGTTTATGATACCTTAATATGCATTTTATTATCAAGATTTATTACAGATACCTGAATTTTTAATACACTTATTGAATACTCAATTTAGAAAACTTTTTTTTATTTCCCATGCATTTGGACGTCGGGACAACGTTGTGTCACGCGACCAAACGTCGGGGCGCAACGTCGCGCGTCGGCACAACTTCGTGCTAACCCTAGTCTGCACTAGTTTGGAGAATAATTTTTGGGTCGAAACAACGTTGGATACCGACGTTGGCTAGCAGCCTAATTTAGTACAAACTGCAACGTTGTTTAAAATCCTAATTCACAGAAATACAAAACTATAATAATATGGCATCCAAGTCGCGTTTTATCAATTTATTTTAATTATCAAATATTTCAAGTTAATGCATTCAAAAAGCAGGAATTGCTATTTTAGGAACGAAACATTTTCTTATTCAACAACACGGCGGCTTTCACTTTGTTGTTTTGGAGATTAAGATGGAGCAGTTCGAGTAGTCGCATACTGGACTAATAAAGTCGCAGTTCAGCCTTAACAGGTAGTATACTAGTCGCAAGATTGCCTAATTTAGTCATCCTACAGTCTAGCTTGTGCCGCCCTCTATATTCTAAATAAACGAGGGAGTGGATTAAGTATCGGTATATGTCGATGTATATTTTAATTTAGTTTTATATGTACATTTCTTATGTCCCATTTTAATTAAGTTTTTTTTTATAAAAACAAAAACAGCACTGAACTGTCTGACTGAACAGAACAATGAAGTGAAAACTTAAGATTTAATGTTATGGTTCAATATAGTTGCAAAAAGGTAGTGATTCGACGTCCTACCAACGTAAGAATAAGGAAATCTAAACAACGTTGGAATTAGTAAAACCGACGCCGTTTGCATAACGTTGGAATAGGTCCTGAAAGTGACGTCGGAAAACTCTTTATTGCCCTACATTGTAACTACGTTATCCGAATCACCTAAAGATCACTTAAGCAAAAAAGGTTACAAGACAACGTTTATTCGACGTCGCAGAAGCTTTTACTTTGTTGTAGTACTAGTGCAACGTCGGCACAACGTTACAACAACGTTTACATTTATTTTAATACCCAAGGTACGGAGCTAACTATTTTTTGTAACTAATCCAACGTTGTGTTTAGTAAACATGTTGTCGCAAGTCGTGAAAATGCTACTTGGGTTCTCATCTCGTTTTGATTAGTCTCACATTATTATACAAAATGAATTTGAATATCGTAAAAACATAATCATATTTTTTAATACTTGGATGTTTTGACGCTAGTGTTAACAGCTGACAAATAACGAAGTTTAAGTTTCTTAAGTTTATTGCCAACCCAACGAGCAAAATCATATCTGTTTCGATAATTGTTGATTGCTTCGTATAAATATGTCTTAAGAATCCATTTCACTAGTCAGAAAAACAGCAAAATAAGCGTTCGGCATTTAACGTTTTATGTAAAACTGGCTAGGTATTTTTACACAAATGAAGAAGGAAATTAAAGATAAAGGATTATATTATATCCGTAACACGACAGGATCGGGCTAAGCCTTGGGTAGATTTCTGAAATAAAATATATAGGGTATTTCAAAAAACGTGTGCCTTCTCTCATGGGGAGACTCCTCACGTAAAAATATTATTTATTTTTCATATCAACATAGGCCCGATTCTGCTTTGTTTCGTAGCTACAAGGTGTTAAGTCTTAATATTTTTTCGATTTATTAAATATTTCTTCCAAGTACTTTTAGCGTTTCGAATGAAATTTTGAGGGTAAAAGTTGCTATAAATGCGACATATTTTAAAGCTAAAAAAGTATCGACATATTCACCAGGGACGTACATATGCCCAAGTAGCATTTTCACGACTTGCGACCACATGTTTACTAAACACAACGTTGGATTAGTTACAAAAAATAGTTAGCTCTATACCCTGGGTATTAAAATAAATGTAAACGTTGTTGTAACGTTGTGCCGAAGTTGAATTAGTACTACAACAAAGTAAAAGCTTCCGCGACGTCGAATATATGTTGTCTTGTAACCTTTTTTGCTTCAGTGATATTTAGGTGATTCGGACAACGTAGTTACAAAGTTGGACAATAAAGAGTTTTCCGACGTCACTTTCAGGACCTATTCCAACGTTATGCAAACGTCGTCCGTTTTACTAATTCCAACGTTGCAGTTGTTTAGATTTCCTTATTCTTACGTTGGTAGGACGTCGAGCCACTACCTTTTTGCAACTGTATTAAACCATAACCTTAAATCTTAAATTTTCACTTCATTGTTCTGTTCAGTCAGACAGTTCAGTGCTGTTTTTGTTTTTATAAAAAAAACTTAATTAAAATGGAACGTAAGAAAGGCACATATAAATAAATTTAAATATACATCGACATATTACCGATATTTTATCCACTCCCTCCTTTATTTAGAATATAGAGGGCGGCACAAGCTAGACTCTAGGATGACTAAATTAGGCAATCTTGCGACTAGTATACTACCTGTTAAAGCTGAACTGCGACTTTATTAGTCCAGTATGCGACTACTCGAACTACTTCATCTTAATCTCCAAAACAACAAAATGAAAGCCACCATGTTGTTGAATAAGAAAATTTTCGTTCATAAAATAGCAATTCTGGCTTTTTAATACATGAACTTGAAATATTTGACCCTAAACAACACGCGGAATTTTTTTTCGACTGCGAATAAATTATTCTCATTTTACTAAAAAAAATTTCAAGAATTTTTTTAAAACTTCTAGTATTTTTCAGAGTAGAAGCAATAAATTTATCAATAAAGAGTTGGTTAAAGTGTTTCAATAATTATGATCTTCAAACATCCTCCACACTTAACTACTTTTGTTTTGTTTTCCTTTGTTTCCTTTACTGATAAAATTAATATGTTTACTATAATTATCCCAATTTAGGATAAAACGCGACTTAGACGCCATACTATTATAGTTTTGTATTTCTATGAATTAGGATTTTAAACAACGTTGCAGTTTGTACTAAATTAGACTGCTAGCCAACGTAGGTATCGAACGTAGTTTCGACCCAAAAATTATTCTCCAAACTAGTGCAGACTAGGATATTTTCCAAACTAGTGCAGACAGTAAAGGAAAGACATGAGGTTGTGCCAACGTTGCGCCTCAACGTTTGGTCGCGTGACACAACGTAGTCCCGACGTCCAAATGCTGCTTCGGTGGGTTATCACTGGAATATTTTTCTAAAAAAAATATGTACGCCACTGACTTTTTTCTCTTGTTAGCGAAATAGTATAAGATGTTTAATGCCGATTAAAAATTGTCTCTTGATATTTTGTAGATTTCGGCCTCCTTAATGAGATAAACGCTATTTTATTAATTTGCATTGATCCAAGTCCAATAACAACCTTTAAAAATGTGTAATATAATTAACTTGTAAAAGTTTTAAATAAGTACTCATTGATTCCTCATCAAAAAATATGAAAAAAAGTTGCTATAAACATGGGTATGGAAATGCATAGTTTTAGAGTTACCGGATGTTAAAAATTTTTAATAGTAGGTTTTCTGTAATTATCTTAAATACCATTATTTTTTTATTTCAAATTGCTGTATGTTGAACTAACAACTGGTAGTTTTTAAAGGTGTTGAACTAGTGAATAACTAATAGTAATAATATTTAACAATAAATTAGGTAAAATATGTAATTTATTAGTTTTATTTTAATTTTATTAATTGTGATTAATAAAATTTCATTTATCTCATCAAGGAGGCGGAATTCGACGAAATATCAAGAAATAACTTTTAATTGGCATAAACGAAACCAAACCAAACCAAACATTCCAGTGATAACCCATATGCACGTCCCTGATGAATTTATTTACCCCCAAAATTTCATTCGAACCACTAAAAGTACTTGGAAGAAAATTATAATAAATCGAAAAAATGTTAATATTTCAACACCCTGTAGCCTGTAGCTACGAAACAAAGCAGAATCGGACCCATGTTGATATGAGAAATAAATCTTATTTTTACGTGAGGAATCTTCTCACGAAAGATGGCACATATTTTTTGAAAGACCCTGTATATTTCCTTCGGCCACACACCCGCTTTACCCGACCCCTGAGAGCGACCCGAACAGTACAGCGTAATATACTCTTAATATAGAAGGGACTTATGGTCTTATTATATTTACCTTGTCGTATATTCTTTGTCCAATTGTAAATCATCCAGAATGCTCGATGGTGGAGGATTAGCAGGCAAAGGAGGCGGAATTTGAATTTCCTCATAAATAGGATCGTTGTTCACCTTTATACTCTCGTAATGATGATCGTCACTTTCTGATACTTCCACGTTCTCCGCTTCAGCCAACAACTCGTAAAACTTTGTCCTGTTCGAGAGTTCCTCTTCCGTCACAGAACTCCTGTTGCTATGATCGGTATAGCATTCCGAACTTTGATCCATCATCTCGTACTGCGTCGAGGAATGTTCCGACGTCACGTCCTCTTCCAAAGTTCGATCGTTCCTCAATTTTAACAAAGAATCCTCGATAGTTAAAGGAAAGTTAGCCTCTTTGAAGAAGGAATCAAAGAGAGAGTTAATGTTGCCGAGCGGCGAGGTGTGATTGGGAAATTTAGTATCTCGAGGTCGCCTAGGCATGTCTGACTTGCCACAGACATGAGGGACTAAGTTGTGACGAACAGCCTCGACAGGATCGCGCAGGATTTCTTTTATAAGCTCGCAAGAAGAGCTGGACTGTGAAGATTGTTTGCCTTCGTTCAATTTTGGAGCTACTGTTTCATCTTTAATTTCTGATTCCATCTTGATTGGACCATTCTCTTTAACGCTGGCAACTATCTTGATGGTATTTTCTTCAGGAACATTCCTTGATAATGTGTCTTCTGACGAACTACTAACGACAGCTTCTTCAGAATTATTACTAGAGATAAAAGTTCCAGTAATGTATATTTTACTGCTCTTCTTATTGTTTTGGATTGGTTCATCTTTCACCACAACCGAAGATTGATACAAAGGTACATTGTCATTAACATTTACAGTAGAGTAACAGTCATCTCCGTTTATCAATATAGACGTTTTTCTTTGAGGATTCTCTATTATGGAAATTGTGTTGTAGTTAGTGGTTGGTGAGAAATCAGGAAATTCGTTTTTAATTTGGATTTTGTGCATCGTAGGAGGAGAATTGATTTGTACGATTGTTTTATTAGAGTTTTCAGGACGAGGAGATTCAATTTTTACCGTGTGAACTAAGGGTTGTATTTCAGGAGACTTTACAATGTTTATGGTCTGTTGCTTGTTGTTGCTACGTTTTCTAGGTGGAGCTGAAGGAGGTGTTAAGTCATTGTTGTTAGAACTATTGATTGATGAATCTGAACCTGTGCTTTCGTCGTATTTATCACTATCATTGCTGGAAATAGATATCTTATGTTTGTGGCTAGAACTTTCTTCGATTTTAAACGCCAGTGAATCAGAATTTTCAATTTTTTCATCAACAGTGATACTATTTTCAAGCTTCTGACTACTATCAAGGACGCCCAGAGCTCCTTTCTCAGACTTTGCACTTATTTCATCGTTGGTATTAGATTCCGTTTTAGTCACAGCTTCAGAAGGTAATGAAGGTGGTAAAGGTGGAGGGGACAATGGTCGAGATGTACATGAACTAAGTTTACGCGTTTTTGATGTAATACCATCCAATTTTTCGAGATCTTCATTAGAGAATGTTATTCGTGAATCAGGTCTTTTTCTCGTTCGTAACGCCATACTGTCAAAGAAGTCCACACATTTGCTTTGAATGTTCCTTCGGTCGCTGTTACTCCTGCGAACTTTTATCAATTTCTTCTTTATATCGTTTGAAACTAAAAAAAAATATAATTTTTTTATATTTTGCTCGATATGTTAACGTTTCAAAAATTGTTACCATCTTTTTTAGGCTCCTCTACTGATTCAGGTACTGGCATATCATCCAAAGCGTCTTCGAAAACGTCATCTTCCTCTTCCTGTACTTTTTCGGTAGTGACATCTTCATAATTCTCTTGCTCAGTATTTTCGTTTGTTAGTTCTTCAATACTTAGTTGCTCGTCTTCTTCGCTGCTTTCAGATTTTCCTTCAAAAAATATAGCTTTAATATACAATTCTAAAAATGCTTTAGAGATGAGCAAAACTGCGATTGCGATTTTTAAATCGCAGCGACTGTAACTTGCGATTTTAGTATTTACCAAACTAAAAAATTATTCGTAAAAAATGCTTTTTCTAAATATGCGAATGAGCCATCCTTATTCGATTTGAAAAAATTGAGATATGATCAAATCCATTTTTCCAAGGCATCTTAATTAAAATTAGGGTTTTAAAACAGCCATGATATTCTAGACTGAAATTTAAAATACGAAAAAGTCAAAAATTGTCATGTGAATATTCTATTCAGACTGTGATTTTCTATCGAATAAAGTAAAAAAATACCGGGGGTGTCGTTTAAAAATCAAAATTTATAGTAATTTCCGGTGAAACAGGAAGTGACTGAAAACAACTGAATACGTCAATCAATCCTAACTTATGTCACATACTAGCATACCAAATCTCTTTTTTTTATTAAAAAAAAATGAAAAAGTTATTGAGGTGAACCGAAGAGGTAGGTACACTCTTGCGAAACACCCAGTATATTATAATGGTGGCCCTAGAAAATAAAACCTTTTATATAAAGAAATAATATCAGAGAGAAAATTTAAACGCAGGTTACTATAAAAAGCTTCAATAGACCACAAAATTACATTCGCACCAATATCGCAAATCGCAACACCTAAAAATTCAAACTAGCAGATAGAAATCACGGTCCCAGTTTACAAAATGGCAATCGCAGCAAAATCGCAAATCGCAGCTATACTGCAGGTAATACTGGTTGCCTGAATCGAACCTGGCAAATAATAGAAGAAAACGCAATGGCAGTTTCCTATGAGAGCAAATCGCAAGTTGCGATTGCGATTTTAATATCGCTGCGATTGAGTCACAGTTTGCGATTTCTTGCTCATCTCTATTACATAACCTTTTTAATTATAAAATAATGTATGTACAGTTCGCACCTCAAAAATTGTATCTTGTAAAGCGAGTGTAATATTTTATATTCAGATAGTATACTTTTATAATTGTGATTATATTGTTTACCTGCGTCTACAAATTGTACTTTCTTTCTTGGTGTTAATGGAAGAGACACAGGTATATAAAACCTTGATCCTGTCTTTTTTGTGGACAGTGGACTAGCCATATCTTCAGCATCAGAATATGGTGACGAATCACTACTGTAGTTTGTACCTCTCTTCTTCAATATCGATTTGAACGTGTTATTTGTTAAAGTATTATAAATAGAATCAGAAGTTCTAGTGGGGATATCGCTTTTACCATTAGTTATTGTTATCTAAAAATACATTATTTAAGAATATAGATACATTTTCAAAATAAAAATCCTTACGGTAGGCTTAGACTTTTTCTGTTTCGAAGGAGACAATTTTATTGCTGGTATTTTCGATGGTGATTTCAAAGGACTTGCAACATCCTCATATTCTTGTTGGTCCAGCTTCGGCCTTACTCTAACTCTTTGACCTCCAACTAATGCTACTGATTTTAGAGACTTATGATCAGATTTGATATCGCCAGACATCAAATCATACGGATTTATGTCACATTCTAATATAGAACGCCTCCCAAATGTGGAGTTGTACGATAAGTCTTGTTTTAATCCTAAAGATAATAAAATCAAATTAATATTGATATATAAATTCAAATATAGCAAAACCCCTTGTTAGTTAATTAAATGATTTTATGCATATGTGCTAATACATTGGTATTTCGTAATAAAATGAAGGCTATTGAATATTAAAGACCAGTAGCAAGTGAACCAAATAACAGCGTTTGTGGGTTAATACAAGGTTCAATAATTATTTTTACTAATGCTTTAACAAATAATTACAGAAGTACTGTCTATTTTTTGGGAAGTATAATTTCTTAGTAAAACCTGATGCTTTCAAATATCAAAACTAAAATGTAAATAAAAAAAATCACACCTTTAGATTTGCTGCAGCTTTGACTCTTTCTCGAATCGTCTTTGCTTTTAGATGGTGAGATTGTTCTGTCCCTAAACGGGGATACAGTAATTTTGGTTTCTGGTACTGATAATCTCGATCTTCTCATATGATCATAGGGATCCAAGGTTGGTAAAATGGAAGGTCGGCTTGAAGAGGTTACTCGTACAGTACCAGCCCTCAAGGGCATAACAGTATTGGCTTCTGTCGTTGGATAGCATCTTACCTAAATTAAATATATGAGCGTTAATTAGTAAATACACATTATCAGGAATATAATAAATCATGTTTAATTAGTTTTGAAGGTTGTTGTCGGTTTTCCTACGTTTTTATTTCCAAAATAGTATATTGTACCTACTTTTTGATTAAATGTATGGTTGTAAATTAAATAGAGCAAACCTTGGAGAAAAGTTTTCATAATTGGCTCAAGATTTAATTTAAACACAGCGCATCTCGATTAACAAACTCAGTCTTTCAACAGTAACGAGACACTTCGCTACTCGGTGTAATATAATTATTGCCGTTTCACACTATAATGCCGACCACAGTCCGTTCTTGCTTACACTTATTTCGAGTATCTCAAACTTGCTTGAATGTACTCATTTCGGCGGAAAGATACAGAGAAGGATAGCATGGCCCCTGCACAAGGATGACACGCAAAATCGTAAAGCGTTCCACATTTTTATGGATTTAGACAAACACGTACGAATGACATCACATATTAAAAGAATCTGTGAAAAGGCAAATATGGCCACTATATATAATTATACATAAGTTAAGTAGACTCAAGTCAATTATACATAAGTTAAGTAGACTCATATATTAATACATAAGTTAAGTGGACTCATGCCAAATATCGGAGGTTCAAGAGTAACAAAGAGAAGGGCACAAACAACAGCTGTACTTTATTTAAAAATGAAGAAGAAATCGGGGTTGAAGTTTAAATCCTATCGGGATTTATTAGAACGACTTAACCGTAGAATGGCAATAAGTATATAATATCGGCCTACAGAACCGCTTAAAGAAGCAGTTACAGTTCTTGCAGGAATGACTCCAATAGAACTGCTGGTGAAAGAACGGGACTTCATTTATCAAATGGGAAAATATTATGCTGCGGGGGCTAAGCAGACGACTTACGCACAGTGGCAAACAAGATGGAATGAAGGTGGGCTAAGGCTTTAAGGGTGGGCTAAGACTTTCATCAAAGACATTAGAAAATGGTGCGAAAGAAAATGGGGTAATATGAATTTTTATACATCACAGGCTATGACTGGTCATGGGGTATCTGTCTCATACCCGCAAAGAATAAAAAATAGCAGGATGCATGTTGTTGGTTTTGTGTAGAGTAAAAAAAGGTATAAAGGTGTAAGAGATGTAAAAAAAGGGATAAAATTACGAAAGAGAACGTAGCGAAAAGTCGAAAAGTGGCAGCAGACTAATGAAGAATATAAAGAAGGAAAAGATAGAAGGGAAGTATAGACATTGTCAATAGAGGATACTTTGTGAGGTTGAAGTAATACTTAGAGCAGTTCCAACGGCACTTGAGAGAAAAAAACAGGGGGAAGGGTTTTAGTCGGTCGCTACAAGCAAACCCGACACAACCCGCGCCGCTAGGCCAACAGTCGGGTATAATATCGATATACAGCATGTACATTCAACTTTTAAAAAAGGCTTGAACCTTCACGTCAATCCGACTTTCTAAGATTGACTTGAGTGAAGCTGGTTTGGGGAATCGAATATAATATGGATCAAGTTTTTAAAGTTTTAGGGTCGATATTTGAGCCTGATTTAAGTGAAGCTTGCTTGAAACACTCGAAATAAACGTGGTCGTAGTGTGGATTGGTTCTAAGCCTTTCAAACTAAGTACTTTCAAACTCTACAAGTTACTACTTACGGTGCCAAATTTTGACTCCACCGAGGACAAAGGCAACCTGGTGCCTTTACATTTCTTGCAGACGTGGGGACTCTTCTTCGACCCAGATCTCCTGCTCTCGTTGAAGTAATCGGGACATTGGCATAGAACAAGGGCTGGCGTGAGCAGCAGGCCTCCTGAGGCCCTCACGCTGCCGTACAGCCAGGGATCAGCGTAGCGCATCGAACGGGATAGGGCGCCAGTGTTTCCTCCGATGCATCTGTCTGCAGCGTCACCACCGTTCCGATTGCCACTTTCACTCTGAAACAACAAAAAACATTACGATATAATGAATATGTTACTGTTGAAGTGATTACTTAGCTAGTTTATATCCTTGCTGGAGAGTATACAAACTAATAAAACATCTTGATATTTTTAAATCAGATTGCGCTTAAAATAACTAGTAGTAGTTATTGGTTTATAGTGGCATATTGTCCAGTAGTGATGAGCCAGACTGGTCTTGGTCTTGTATAAAAAGTAAAACCAAAATATGCGTTTGATCTGCAAGATCAAGACCGACCATGCAAGACTCTTACGGTCTTGTATTTTGTCCACGTTTATGTGGAAAGAACTTATTTGTTCAAAATTACTATTTTAATTTATTACAAATACAGGGTGATTCAGGCTTCCGAAAAAGCTTTACAGGGTGGTCCGAACTGTATTCCGGAAACTTCGGCAGCATATTTTGCAGATAAAAATAAGTAAAAAACTTAGTTTGGGAGATACAGAGTGTAGAAGTTTCATTTTTCTTTCGATTTTTTCCAAATAATTTCTGATGTAACGTCAATCTTTGGATTAAAATTGGTGTCTGGGAGTTTTTTGACATGAGAAATTTGATTTTGATGTCAATATGACTCCTATTTGTAGGAGGCGCCACCTACATATGTTTTAACTGTTTTGAAGAGAAATAACTTTTAGTCCGTACCTGTATAAAACTACTAAGTGAAAAAATATACATTTCCGTAGTTTTTGACGTAAAAAATATCTCTTGGTAAAAATCGCTACAAGAAACCGTTCTCAAGATTGAGTAGGTAATTATCTCGGTAATTATTTGACTGAAATAATAAATTTGGGAAATTTTTATATAAATCATTTTTCTTCGAAAAAATTATGCTTAAAAAAATTAACTTTTTTCATAAAATCATTTCAAATTTATTATTTTAGTCTAATAATTATTTAGCAACATGTTTAATTTATGTCAATGATGTATGATAAATTGATGTATTGATAAATTCGATTCCAAATATCTCGAGAACCATTACTCCGAGAGATTTTTACCAAGAGCCGTTTTTTACGTAAAAAACGTCGTAAATGTAATTTTTTTACTCAGTATTTTTATACAGGTACGGATGAAAAGTTATTACTCTTGAAACCTGTTAAAAATGTGTAGGTGGCGCCCTCTACAAGTAGAAGTCATACTGATCATCAAAATCAAATTTCTCATGTTAAAAAACTCCCATACACCAATTTTCATCGAAATATTGACGTTCCTTCAGAAATTATTTGGAAAAGATCGAAATAAAAATTAAACTTCCACACCCTGTATCTCTGAAACTAAGCATATTAGTATCTACATTTATACGAACTTTTTTACTTATTATTATCTGCAAAATATGCTGCCGAAGTTTCCGGAATACAATTCGGACCACTCTGTATATTTCTGGTTTCTGGTTTGTAAATTCCATTTAAATTTTTTACATAATATGAGGGCAATGCTAACGTACATTTTGAAAATATTTTTTTCAACATACAGGGGATTCAAACATATTTTCAAACCAAAGTTGTTTAATTTTAAACGGAATACTATATATTTTTTAGCTCTATCAGTGGATTTACCCATTAAATTTCCATTCAAGAAATACAGTGGATTTTGCAATATAATCCTTTTCAAACTAAATTTACAGCTTATTTAAAGCCCTTTTAATTTCCAAATTCGAAGAATTTTATTTTTTTTAACAGGCAGTACTGTATAATAGTGTCTTAGCAATCTTGTTTCATATAATATACAGGGCAAGTCAAAACTAAATGTATTTTCTCCACGATTTTAGGTAGAACACCCTCTTTTTGTATCATAATCGAACAAGGTTTTCTTTAATCTTTTTGTTTTACTAAGCACTTCTTATAGCTAAAATAGATATTTAATGAGAAAATTGTGTTTTTTTTGAAAATAAGACATGATCTGGCGTCCAGTAAGACAAATGTATTGAAAGAATGGCGTTTATCATTAAAACTGTCATTGTCCATCTTTTAATTTTAAAACCTTGTTCGATTATGATACAAAATACAGGGAGTTCCATTTAAAATAGTTCCAATTTAAACACAATAAAGTTGATGACAGTATCTCTCAAATAAAATGTCAGATTAAAAATCTAATAACACATCAACTTGCAGAGCACGAAAAGTAGCAAATGGATCTGAAATTTGTATTATTATGACAATACATTTGAAATATAGACAGAAAAGAAATACAACATTTAGATTTGACTTATTTTGTATATATCAAATAAGATTGCAAATTTTAATAGACCGAAGTTTTACACGAAGACACTTGGCGCGTTCGGTATTCACGTTCGACCGCTCGGATCGATCTCTATCGTTCGTTTATGACATCCAGATGTAGGGGAAGTAAATCTGAATCGTTCGGTAAATAAAATCGGAGCAATCAGACGCTGATCTTTTTACTCGGAAAATTTTGACGGAGCAAACAGATTAATTTGAATTAGTGAGGTTAAATTTCCAAGTTGTTGTCAAGTTTTAAATTGTTTATTTTGTTGCTTAATGCAAAATGACGTACAAAACTCAAAAAAGAAATTACTGGTCCTTTTGTCTTTGAACGTTGAAAAATTTCAATTGGGAATTAGGATTTCAAACTTGTCACTTTTCCATTAGCGATCCGAACATTCCAAACCGTTCGGTAATTTCAGGTTACTCAATCCAATCTGTGATCACGTGACAAAAAATCCGTCGACATCTGGATGTGATTACCGAACTTAGCATTAGACAATAATTTCCTGTTAATATTTTTTTTTAAATTCTTCAAATTTAGAATTTTAAGAGGGCTTTAAATAAATAGTAAATTTTATATTTAAAAAAACACACGGTATAGTACGCGACGTTATGGTATTTTTGGAACGGAAATTTAGTAGGAAATCCACTGAGCTAAAAAAATATATCGTATGATCGGTTTAAAATTATACAGCTTTGATTTGGAAATATGTTTGAATTACCCTGTATGTTGTTATATTATGTAAAAAATTGAAATATTATGTAAAAAATTGAAATGAAATTCACAAACTAAAAACCTACTAAAGAACTTCTGCGGAAGCCTGAAACACCCTGTAATGTTATCCCTATAAAATTTTAAAGGAAGAAATGCTGATTCAGTTTATATTGAAAAATAAAAAAATTCGTAACACAAATATTCTAATAATGTTTTTCTTTAAAGTTTTATTTGCATTCAATTACTAAAAATACTATTTATTTAATGATTTTTCAAAACCAAGACTACTTATAAACTACAAAACCAAGACCAACGGAGTCTTGGTCATGGTCTTACATTTACTCGTCACTATTATCCAGCTAGTTTATAAATTATAGCATGTCTGTCGCCAAAGTTCAAACGACAAAAAAATTAGAAAAATTAACTAAGGCTTTTGGCTAGGCTCTAAACTTGCTACTATATTTGGATAAACCACGAACGTAATTTTCCTAGTAACATACTGGGTGTCCCATATAAAAATGCATACTAGAGAGATCTGATAAACAGAAAAGATCCTAAAATTTTCAATTAGAGAAAAGTATCGCCTTGCTGAACCCTAATAATATTATATTTCAAAATTTAAAAAACACGATTATTTCGAATTTAAACCAAATTTTTCCGATCTCGTTTTTATTCTTTTCTGGCTTTATTTTAAAAGTATTGTAATAAAATACAAATTTCAGATCACACTGCTACTTTTCGTGCCCTGCAAGTTTATGTTATTAGATATTTAATCTGACATTTCATTTCCGAGATGCTGTCATCAACTTTATTTTGTTTAAATAAGGGGGGGGGGCTATTTCTTAATTCATTTTCTAAACGCTTGGGACTCCTCCAATATAAAGATGTAGCATGTAGCATATAGCACACTATAAGTACAGAAAAAATATCCCCATAACTAGCCATGATTTGTTTTGTATAACAGAAAAAGCTGAAATTTTAGCAGTTGGTGTTCCAGAGAATATATTAGTATGAATAGAAGAACTTACCCTTAAATTGTAGGAGAAAGCTGCATCCGGAGGTGACAGTGGAAACCGATGCATTGCATGGCTAACCAAAGCAGCCATAGAAATATAATAAACGCACTAACATCTCCAAAATCTGTAACAAAATAAAACACATATATTAAAATTATTCACTGATATTTCTCATGATTTTTCCTAATTCAAATATAGTTAAAGACAAATTTAATTTACAACCTAATTATTTTATTTTAATTTTAAATATTTAATTTAGCCCTTTTCCAAAGAGCATCTTTTCTTGTAAGTGGGATTCTAAAATACTCATTGAATTTGGTGTTAGTACCAATTGGTACCATAAAGTATTATTTACTTATTTAATCACTTCCTCTTTCTGGTTCTAGTCGCTTCTTCTCCCTCATCAAGAGCTTATAGCTCTTAATGAGGGAGAAACTTTTAATTTAAAGCTGAAACTTTTAATTTTACAGAAGACGTTATACGTCTTCTGTAAAATTAAAAGTTTCAGAGAAAACCACTACAACTAGCCTATTGGGCAGACAATTATTGAATATATTGTTAGCTGTCCAGGTGTTGACTGAATGAGACTGGGCGGATACAGCAACAGAAATATGACATGATTGGCATGTGTGAATAGACTATATAATTATCATTTAAAACAATTTTGCAAAATTAAGACTTGCTTCGGGATTAAAAGGGTAGACAAATCAAATTTGAATAACTCTAAAGTAGGTAATAGAAAAAAAAATCTAGATTGAGTGTGAGATACATGATAAACGCTCGGTCTATAAAATATTTTACACTCCAAATACAATAAATAGCGTCACACTGAGCTCTTGAAATGATAATACCGTATGATCGAAAAAAGGCGTCCAGTTGGCTGGGAAATGATCGATGACATTTCTCATATAAATTTACATATAAAATGACAGCGATCTTTCATTTAGCCATAATTTTAACATTTTTTCATAGCCATCGCTGACGCCGTTTTTTTTCGATCATACTGTAGAACTAACATAACTTTTGCCGGACCTAACCTAAGCCTTCAGGTGCGGATTATTAAAAATTGACATAAGGTACTACACAGCAATTAGAAAAAAATATTTTAAAATGTTTGAAAACATTTTACACGTTTCTAAAATAAAAAATACCAAATGTTTTATCCATTAATCTCTTCAAAAGATTCTTCTGGGTATTTCGACACTGCAAAAAATCTACAAAATAAAATAGTTATTTTTTGTAAACACCGCTGCGTTAATCCAAGGGAGACTAATTTGTCAGTTGTATTTTACTAATAAAACACATTTGGCTAACATCATCAGAAACAAGAAAAACAAAGAAAAAACTATTAAAAATATCTAAATACTACTATTGAAGAACACTTTTTTTCAACAGATACGTTTATTAAAAACCCTTGATGTTCTGATAAAATGGCATATGTTAAACTTCAAAATTTACAAATACTACCTAATAACAATGACTTAATGAGGTAAAACAAAAACCTCAAACTTTCTATACATATATGATTATTTTTTAATAGCTTTTAATTATTATTTATGATATCTTTATTATATTTGAACTTATTTAAGACTCACCCTGTATAGTAAAGTTATAAAAATGTATCAATATTAAAGCTTTCCTTAATTGTAGTTCAGTATAAAATAGTTTTAATAATATATAAAAAAAGCTTATACCCTTAAGTATGCATCATGTATACATATTCTGCAATAGTTACGAGGTCTGTAAGTATAATGTTATTGCTACCTGTCTTACAATTATCTGACTTTTAAAACACTTAAGACTTTAATAAATAAAGACATAAAGACGATATACATATCTTACATGCATAATTGAAACATTAATATACCTAATCTCTACTAAACGTTCTCCCTCAATCAGCATTCGTAACTAGTTATTATGCAAATATATCGGATTCTTATTACTACAATTTCTGCCGCATTTTCCAATCAATGTATCTCAGGCGTATATAAAAGGTTTTTAAACAAAGAGCGTACGTCATTACGCAAAATGTATCCTGTCGATAAGAATCTTCCTTTCTACTATTGTCTGGCTTACTTCAGGCTGTTGTTCTATTATCCGTCTAATAGAAACTATAACAAAAGGACGTTCCTAACGATATCTTCGTTTTGGATGGCGTTCTTTGCCGTACACACTTTGAATATCTACACGAAATTTATAACTAGCGTAATGAGTAAGTAACCAAACCAAACTGATAGATTTTGGAGATTCTACATATTTTGAATGTTAAAAAAACTACTGATATTCAATGATGGTTCATTCATCAATAAGCGCACATGTGTGTAAACTTGATGGCGCACATGTGACTTGAAATTAAGTAGTATTGAAAAACTTAACAATACGGTGCCTTTTTAGCTGACCATACCAACAGGTAGGCTATTAAGATGGGCAAAAAAGAGTTTTTTTAATTTCACACAAAATGAGTTATTTGGGTCATAAATGACCTAAATACAAAATATTTTCGTGGTGTCTGTCTGTCTGCCTGTCCGTCTGTAACACGATAACTCAAAAACCGCTAAACCGATTTTAACCAAATTTGGCACAAAAATACTGTGGCACCCGAGAATCTGTCCATTAGTTTTTGGTGGGGTTGGGGGTTGGTAAGGGGGTATGGGAGGGGGTTAAAAATTTTAAAAAATCCACTTTTAAAAACTCCAAAATTACAGTAGCTAGCAAAACGCGGTTTTCAATTTAAGATTAGGAATAATATTTGCAACAAAATTTGTAATAACATCAAAATCAGTCAAAGTCGCAGTTTTTCAGATATTCCGTGTTTCCGTAGTACGGTTTTGAGAAAATCCGTGTGGGGAACTCCAAACTCCCATCGGACGCGACCCCAGGTGGCGAATAGGGGAAATAACCGCGGACCAAAATTCGAAAAATTCCTTTACTTTGAAACTAAAAGAACTGCCTACCAACTTTTTATTAGCATATTTTAGTATGGGCGGCTATACGTGCCTCCCGGCGCCAATTTTTTTATTTAGTGTTAATGCATAATCTTTAACAGCTAAAGTGCGGTCTATGGGATCCCGGTATCTATATTTTATCCTATAAGGTAACAAACGCAAATTCCGAGTCGTATGCTCTCTAATCACCCAAGACTTGTCTAAAATATTCTAAATTAAAAAAGCGGTAATAGATTTTTAGCAAAAATGTTAAGAGTTAGAAGATACACTTGTAGATGAAGAAATGAATGGAGAAGATTCTGATTCACACATACCAAGTTTTTTAAAAATTTGGCACAAAATTTGGTTATAGATCTCGTTTTTAAGCTCACTAGAATTTCATATAACAATAATTGAAATAAATGTGAGCTAATGAATATGTTCCACTACAAAACCTTACACCACGACATAAAAAATATCTGAAAATTTGAATACCTGCTATAAATATCCACAAAGGTGTTATGAAGAAAGCCTGTTCCAAAAACCGAAACACTGCTTTGGGAACACCGGTGTTGGGCTGACACCGGTGGTCAAATATAGGCTATCCGGTGTACCGGTGTCGACAACACCGATGTTCATCTACAACACCGGCGCGGCATTCGTTTCGACACAGGTGTTAATCTCGATACCGGTTTTGACTATATGACACCGATTTTGATCTCGACACCGGTGTCTCGACAGGCTGACGGTAACGCTAGCTTATCTCGGACAGGTTTTATACCACGAAATCGCCCATAACGTTGCGCATTTTCTTATTTTTTCAATCAACGATAATGCGATCAAGACATAACATACCAGAGGACCTGCGCGGCGCGACCTGACGACTCGGCACATTAGTATATGTATGTAAAATAACTTGTAATCATGCGCTTTATACTACGATACAAATTTTGATAAAGTGTCAAATAAAACTTAAAGGTAAGAAAAATAATGCGATGAAAAAATTTTCATAATTTGATGAAAGATTCATTAAATAATAATCATAATATATTATGATCTTCGTTAATAAAATACCTCCTTTTTATAGCTTCATTGATCTATTTGTATTATTTGTAAACAGATGTGTGCCTTATCGCAGAACTTTAAAAACCTAGAATGTATACTATTGTCACACCATTTTTTTTGTGATTTGACAATATTATTATTTTCTAGAAAACGATGACACCGACATAAACGAAACTTTGGCTGATCTGATGGGAAATACCAGCTGCATTTTAAACTGTTGTTTTTTCGTTTTCTTTCATAAGCAGTGGTCGAATCTGTTCGAAGCTTTAACAGATCATTCAACCTTTGGCAAACCTCCAAAATACGATACAAGTATTCAAGCTAACAAATTGTTTTCCCGATTTTGTGTTTGGTATGGTAATATTGGAGTGGGAATCTATACAGTTATATCACTTATAGATGAAAAATCTTGTGACAAGGTAAAATTAAATAGTAAGCTTTATTGGCTTAATAATTAAGCACACCCATCACTCAGTACAACTATATGCAAATTAAAAATTGTTTTTTAGATAACAATCACTTATTATTATTGTTATTAATAAAATGAGTTTGATTTCATACGAAAAAGAACAAAATGTTTTGGGAAATATATTGGCCATTAGGTATTGTTTTTATAATACAGTCCCTTCCTGTTCAGTCCGAATGTTATCATCCGGTCCCAGGGACCGTACCACGTATTTAGTGTAACGTCTTCAATATTTCGATAGCTCCGTCAAAAGGTGTGAAAAATATTCAATACAGGGGTTCTGACTTTCAAAAGAGATTGAATAACGAGAAAACTAGAACTAGAATACTAAAACTATTTTTTCTGACCAAGATGAGTAGATTTTAGAGCAATATTGATGAAAATTCTTCTCTCATTCGGAATTAATGACAGTGACAATATATCCTAATGATGAAAACCAGATCAACCAACGAATTTATTCTCGGAAGAATGGATACAAATGGAATCTTCTAAACCTAATCAAAACGTAAGACCTGCATGCGAAATCATGAAAGTTCTAACCGTAAGAGTAACTGGTATTATTATTTTGCACTATACCAAACTGGCAGAGTATCGCGTAAAAGAAAGACTGGTCAGAGATACGAACGACGTTGAAATCAATAGATTTTCGAGCCACTTATTATACACAAGCCAAAACCTGATGATATTAAAGTCTTATTAAAAAAGGTTATATAATATATATCTTAATTCCCCCAAATAAAAAAATCATGTTACTACAAATAATAATTTATCTTGTTGTCCTCAGGACGCCATAATGTTGTGTTTGGTTTGGACACTATTCTGCAACGTCGATTGTAACAGTCAAATTTCCTCGCTACGACCTATGTGTGCTATCTCATAAATTATCGCAAATAACTATTATTTTTGCATCATGTTTACTATAATTTTATTCTTAAATATTATTTTATTTAGTATTTTACCATTATGCAAGCGAATATACACCGTGATATTATACAGCTACAGCTACACAACATTGTCACTGGATCCGCCCAGCATTAGAATTTTTGTCGAACTCTCTATATCTTTGATCATCACCTGCCCGTCACTTGTCACTGTCAGATCAAATCAGATATTTTTGGATTTATTTATCCTTTGTTTTGGTTATTGAAATTTTATAATTATCAGATAAAATTTCGTAGTTAAATTGTTTATTTTTGATGTAGCAGAATGAGAGGGAAGAGGCAGCTCACAATAGAACGGAATGGAGAAAAATTGTAAAGTCAGTTAAGAGCGACAACCAAAAGTAAAGAGACAACAAAGCGATGAGATTTTTGAATGTCTGGAGTGCGGTAGACAGATAACATCACGTATCGGGCTTTTCAGTCACAGAAAAGCTCACGAAAGAAAACGCCTTGCGTGACCATCTTCTGATGCGTGTCAAATACTCGTCAGCGAGTAATGGCGGTATGTATGTATATTTTTGATGTGGATAGTAGTGTGCAATTCGTTAATTTTAATTGTGGAATTTCTGAGTTAAGTTGGTTCATTCATCGGATATGAAATATGTCAGTGGAAAATATTCTAGAACATCATTTTTTTATTTATGCCTTTTTGTGAGTTGGACTAGTCGAGATATATAGTTCTCTATCTATATCCTGGAGGGAGATTTCCGGTTGAAATCTGATTTTGTGAAGGAAATCGAATCCTTGCATCACTTCTTGTGTGCTCCCCGACCGAGAATATCGTAGTGAAGAACTGGCTGCCGTTTCGTGAAGCATTCCCTGTTGGTAGTTAACAGGTATTCTTAGGATTAAGGCTTCCGAAACACATTTGGTCAGAGACGTGGTTGTATTTTGTGGTTTGGACATATTTACATGGACCGCCGACCAATTTCCGTAATGGGATTAAAATAGCCTTTTTCCGACCGATGCGATATACCGACTCCACGTGCCCAAGAAGTCCCCGAATAGTTCCAAGGTATACTATAATTCTTCTGCCTAGTCTAAGTCAATGCTCAGCTGATTTTTATTCGTATTGTTGACTGGTTTTCGACTTTTCCATGCCCACGTGGTGTAGAAAGATTAGTTGAGCGTTATCTTCCTTAAATCTTATTTGGTTGTTCGTAATTGTAGAGCAAGAAGACCGATCCAGACCGTAGCACAGAACAGTCCAGAATTCCATCCGTTCCTGTTGTCCGTGTAGAGGTACCCGTTGGACATCATAAACCCTCGGTGAGGTAAAGTTCAGAGTTAATTAGTCCATCGTAGTCAGACAGTACACCGAGCTGTAGCCCCCTTAGCTATACACCGTAGCTCAACCGGAGGAAGTTTCAAAAATTTCAAGTACATACATCGAATAGAGTAATACTGTATAATTTTAGTTTAGTTTAGATTTGATTTATGTAAACCACCCTGACTGTATCTAGTGTTAAGTTAGATAAGGGAGTTTGATGTCAAAATGACTAGTTATTCCATTTAATTTAACTTCTATTTTCTTTTCCAACCTTCCATTTTACATTTCATTCATTTTTTTTATATATATTAACTTTTGATATTTAATAAATTGCTTAATCATTTTTAGTAGTATTTTTTTTTACAGCCTAGTCTCATAGTTAAGTTAGAGTCACTTAAGTTTAAATAATTATAGTAACATTTGAAGTTCATGGTAGTTACACTCAACAATTCGAGGTTAGTGTTGAAGTCTACTTAATAGTAACATCTTTTATGCTGAGTTCATAGAGTATAATCTCGTGGCGCCCTTTTATTAAGATCTTTGAACCCCGACCACCCGGCTGTTAAAATTAAAAGTTAGTGGCCTCTATGCAACTCATTACCGATTAAGTAAACTTGTGTTTTATTGAACTTCGAATTAGAAAAGGACGCGGCACGATTAAGGGTTAAAATTTGTACGAATTCTTTTGAATTCATACTACGTAAATAATATGTTTTTCCTAAGCTCAGTACGGATCAATCTTCCAAAACTGTTGATAGCTTTAAAATTGTGAGTATAAGAACTCTCGCACACACACCGGAAAAATCGGTGCCGGAGTCGGCGCCGGCTTTGCACCTGTTTCCCGTTTCGACAGTTGTATTTAATTCTATTGTATTGGCCGGTCCCTGACTATTTTACAGGATTGGAGTATATGTGAAGGAGCTAATTTATTTATATTGCAATCGATTTCAGCCCCGGCACCAACACTGATTTTACCGGCGTGTGTGAAAGCGCTCTAACTATATCAGAACTCAATCTTATATCAACGGCAACAAAACCATTGTTGACCTGTATTATCAATGTAACCGCAGCCAGATGCCATCTTCTTCTTAATTATTATATCTTTTGTATTAGGAAAACGAAGAACTACACTTGAACAGGATGTGTGGAATGCTAAGTCCGACATGGTGGCCCAACACTATCCAAGCAACCCTACCTATCAAACGCTTCTACTTAATCTATCAAATACTGGCCACCTCCTGGATTTTACCTCCTACTTTAACCTTATGTTTCATTATATACGAAGCTGGAGGTCTCATAGATGTTAGAATAGACCATCTGAAAGAAGTGTATGATAATATATTTGAAACAGATAATGAAGAAGAACAGTTCAAAAGGTTTAAGCTCTGGGTTAGATATCATCAGGATATAATTGGGTAAATTAACATAAATTAAGGTATTTTTTGTTTATTAAATATTGTTTTCTTTCAGGCTATGCGAACATTTGAATAGAATATCAAAAAGAACCATTGGTCATGTTCTTTTAATAGCTGCAATTGTCATGGGATGTATAGGAAATCAACTTATAAAGGTATAACTTTTATTAGCTCAAACAAACCAATTTTAATAAATTATGTGACATTACAGGATTCTACTCCAAGAGCAGCTATATATCTGGGTGGATATGCTTTATCTGTATTCTTCATATGTCATTGTGGACAACAAATTATTAACAAGGTGTAACTTTTTTAAACTGGTTTAATTTACCTTTAGTCGTTTTCAATCAGAATTTTTATTAAGTTTTTTTCACAGTCTTTTTTTTTATTTTTCAACATTAAATTTTTACACTTTGAATTAAGGTTATCGTTCCCCGATCAGATCATCCAGATTGAAGGCTGAGTGAAAAGTTTAAACAGTCCAAACTTCATTTCAAGGAATTTTAAAAGCTAAGGTTTAGATCACAATTACCAATTGATTCACTGGCGTAGTTTTTTTGTCTTTACTATTGATAGTGTTATATTTTAATTTGTTTTAAACTTATTATAAATATTAAACTATTCATTATTATTTGTCATTATAATAATTGTATTTCTTCTCGGACGAGACATACTACCACCTGATACATATCAAAATGAAAGAATAGACCTTCACACCAATGTCTTGTTCGTAAAATGATAGATCAAAAGTGATATAGTGTAAATCCCGCTTTAGCTATAATTTATAATTTATTGCAGACGCTTGATATCAGGGATACTATATATGAAGGAAAATGGTATATGTGCGATGAACGGGTAAAATCTTGGATGCCTTTTGTTTTACTGAGATGCCAAAAACCAATGAGCTTAGATGCCCTGCCACTGGGTAGCGCAAATTATCCATTGTTTCTGTTGGTAATAATCTAAATTAGAAAGAGTATATTAAACCAACTAAACATTTTTTCCTTTTCAGATTATCAAAACTACGTATTCGTATATAACGCTATTGAATCAAGTTGTTTAATGAGAAGTACTCGAATAGCAACGCGTTTTTACAGTTTTGCTTTATGCATACTATTTATATTCTTCTTTATAATATTTATATTATCCACTAGATCTCTTCCTTATTGATTTATAGTGGCAACAAGTAAAATAATTGTAATGGTTTAACAAAAAGGTCTCAATTTTGCTCTACATGATTTCCTAAAATTTTCAAAAATTTATACCGCGCACATATTGGAAATCTGCATTGTGAATATGAAAACATACAAATACGGAATTGTTGGCTCTAATAAAAGCACTGATGAACATATTCTTGTGTTGTGGATTTTGATTTTCAATTGATATGTTTGACTGGGTTCACATAATTTAATTAAGAACAATACGTATTAATTGCTGCTTAAATTAAAGAAAAATGGTTGTTAGTTAAAATTAGATTATAAAAATACTCCAAAAAAGTTAAATAACTGGAAAGATTTTATTAAATATCTAACAAGATTTTGTAGTATTTTCAATATATTTTTTATGCCCATTTAAATTGTTAATTTTATTAAAGATCGCAAGAGAAATTACATTTTTTTATATCCTTTGTCAATTTTGACTTTTGACAAAAATAATAAACAAGAAATAATGCTTTTCATATATTTAATGTGGGTTTAAATGCATCCGTCATGCATCATCAGTCGTTGATTATGTGCAATTTTATTTGTTTATTTCAGAAATGTCAGCTGACAATTATTATGATTGGAGTTACAGAAGGACGGGCGGATGACACATGGCGTGTGCATATACTAAGGGCTGGCAAAGGTTAGTCTTGGGTAGAGATTTCTGTATGTAAGAAGAGTACAATGCGTTTATAACGTACTGAACAAAGAGAGAACAGTAAAGACGTTGCCAAACGTATGAAATAAACCGAGAAACTGTGCATATTGCTAAGAGACGTGGAAGGGGATAAGCAGATTTGTCGCAGTCAACTAGTTGATCCAATCAGTACCTCTGTCAGTACTTAAAGTTCTAGGGAAAGGTGTACATCATGCGTTCAGCTTCACAATTGAATTACGTCTCGTGATACTTATTTTTATTTATTAACGAGTTGTTGTAATTTTCCCTATAGCTTGAAAATTTTTAAGTGCAAGTTAGAAACACTTGCATTTTTGGTAAAAATAAGTGGAATTGAGTTGGTGTTCGACATTGGTCGCGCTATTAGAACTCTGAATTTAAAAATCGATATCTCGAAATATACTAGAAATAATCGATTGTAGTTTTTTCAAAAACTTTCTTAACATTTCTGCTATATTTTCTTCGCAGACAGTATGTGAAAATCTTTATAAATAAAAAAGTTGCACGATTGCTGAAAATTGCTATGCACTTAAAGAAAATGGATGGGTTGTTTAACATTTTTGAATGGAAAAAACAACCTTATCGATTTTTTCTTATTTAAACATATTGTAAAAGATCGGATCTTCAAAATAAAAAAAGTTTCAATATCTAAAGTGATTCTTAATTTATGGAGTGTGACACCTTAACGATATCCTTATAATTCCATTTAAGATGCTCAGAATCATATATGTAACGATTTTATCTAGTTATCTTCTCGAAAAAAACTCTTTTAAAAATAAACGGTTTGCGATCGTGATTTTAGTTTACTTGATAGGGAAAGGCGTACCGGCAACGCCATGGAATTTCTCTCACTCCGACTTAATAAGATCCCTATGTGATTTACTTCCACACATGTAAATACCGATTCAAAGGTAAAAGTTGCCAGCACGGTAAACCCACCTTTAAATAAATAAATTGAACTGACAAATTATTTTTGTTTAATCTTAAAAATACAGTTACATCAACTTGGACATAATAATAAATGAAACTGCTGAACACAAAAAATAAAATCAAGGATTGAGATGGCCAGAAACCTTTCCAAAAACTAAAGATTTTTTTGCATTGGTGATATAAACTTACATTTAAGAACAAGAATGCTCCGATGCTATATGTTTTCAAACTTATTATATGGTACAAAACTTATGGTGGGGAAGCTCCTAGTCGGGTGCTAGGGGGAATCCTCTCTTCTCGGGGAAACACTTTGGCTGAGTCTAAAGAGTATCTCAATGTTATCAGAGTATATCAATGTGTATTTGTGTATATGACGAGAGTCCAAACTCGCTTCCAACGATCTCTGCGCTACCACACGATGTGGCAAATGTGTGCGTCCAATTTTGGAAGGTGTTCGCCACATCCTGTGACATCTGTAGAATGACGATTTGATAGCACAAAAAGAGTCATTCTTAGGCATAGTAACGTGACAATCAAATTTCTAAGATTGTGCATTCCAAAGTGAAGAACTACGTGTTCCCATTGGCATTTAGTATAACACGAGAAAGTTTCATGATCTAAAATTTTCATTTATTTTTATTTCATTTAGAAAATATTTCTTTACATTCCAATTTAATTCTACCTTTGTTCAGAATATTATACAATATACAACCTACCTAGCTAATGAGAAGGCGCTAGCTAATATTTTTATAGCTTTTTAAATAGAGAATATTCTATTTACACAAGGAACCAAGGAAACTCATCAGTGTAGAGTCGTTGGCAAAAGGCAGATATTGCCATTTACCTTAATAAGCCTTTCACGGTTTCCACCTTTAATAACATTGCGAATTTGTATTATCTAATATAAAACAGGCATCCGTTCAGTTTGTTGGAGATTTCATTAAAAATTATATTATGCAAAGTAGCAAAGTGAACAAATTGTATTTGAAATTACTGAGAATATTCCTAATTGATTGACTAATAAATAACACGATAAAGAAATATAAATATATATTTTATCAATGTTATTTGGGATTATTAATTGAGAATTGTGGCGGTTCCTCAATAAGTACAGGGTGTCTCACTTGTTTTAAGGGATTTCTCGTTTATGAGTAGAGATACAAAGAAGCGGTTTGCACCTCATTATGCTACTTTTTTATGAAACCAAAGTTCCTACACACAAATTTGCCCTGGTTTCTAAAATACAGGGCGAATTTGAAATTGTTGCATTTGTACATCCTTTGTATCTCGGTTATCTTATAACTTGTCGAAATCGTAAAAATTGAGTTCAACCGTAAAATCCAGTGGTATATCTAGTTTTTCGCTTATAGCTGTCATTTTAAAATTATGACTCAAACTTGTATTTTTTTAGTTTTTTTTTCTATATTATTTATTTATTTTTATAGTTGTCTTATGAGCTTTCTAAAAATGTACTATACTCTATACTTATTTTCATAAAGTAAAAAAGCATTTTTTAACTTTTTTACATAAATCAACCTAGTTTAAAGTGTATTATTATTTTATTTTATTTAATTTTGTTAAATTTAAACAGATAATTTTGGTTTCCGCCAGTTTTCTTAATAATATGCGCACTAAAAATAAACCTGTGCGGCTTTTAGATAACACGCTGTCAATCAGAGTTAGTGATATTTTTTATGCACATGTGCACTAATTCTACACACATAAACTAGCGTGGAATAATCAATAATTATGTGATTGTTTTGACTACCTAATTTAACAAAAATAACATATAAATATTAATTTAACTACAAAAATGACATCAGCATGCAATATTTAAAGATAATAAATGTTAGTTACCGAGATATTTAATATTTTTGTAATGAAGATTTGGTGCCTAATAGAATATTTTTTAAACGTACGCCATCAAAATATTGAAAAACCCGCCACCAAAATATTGAAAAGCCCCCGCCACCAAAATATTGAAAAACGTGCCGCTACTGATTGCAAATCTAAGTATCTTAGTAGAAATAGAGAAATACAAGAATATGTGTATTCTTGCATGTGTGTATTTAATGAAAGAGAAATATTAAATATTCAGAGTTTTGCTATAATTATAAATATACTAATAATATTGCTCTTTCTTTTTCGAAACTTTATATATTTTTTCTGCTTGTAATTAGAGCTGCAATTGACTTTCAGGGATTCTCTAATTAAAAATAAAACATTTCTTTGTTTTTGACTCAAAAACTTTTCTATTTATTATTTATTTATAACAAAATTTTATGATGTTTAATATTTTATCAACACTCCACTCTATATAAAAACTGAATAAACTTTAAACGGATTTGTATTTAGTATATCCAGAAAGCGAAAATGACGAGCATATATGAAATCACAAAAAATAAGCCTTTTTACTATACCTTAACTATACTAAAAAATTTAAGATTTTATCCCCAGTCTATGGAGACGAATTACAAATGTCGTTTCTACATAATGCTTATTTTATGGAATTTTATATTAGTTGTACCATGGTTTACTCTTCTCATATTACATTTGGTTATGAATTTGATTAGTAAGTAACTAAAAATAGACATGTAAATGGAAATATAGTCCTAAGAAATAGAGGTGGGCAAAGATTGAAAGAGTCGTTTCAACGAGTATTAAAAATAAATCGTGAAATTCGATTCATTCAATGCTTAGAATACGATTCATTCAAATGAGATGTAGCGCGGGAACGGATCCATAAAATGGTATGTATAAAATCATTTGAGTATTTGAACGAGTCGAATCATTACCCAGAATGAGCTTCGTTCAAATGAGTCATGATAAGCAGGGATCCCTAAAATTTGAACGAACGAGTCGTAAAAAAGATTCGTAGAAATTGAGTCGGAGCACCGCTTTCAGTGCGATTCGTTCGTTCCTACGATTCTTCGTTCAGTGATTCATATTGATTCGTTGGTTACAATACGGTTTCTTTAAATGAATATTACAGTTAAATACTGTAAGCTTGGATACCCAACGTTTGTAATATGGGTAATAAAATAAACTATAATATAATTTAATGCCGTCTTCATACTATATGAAGACCGCGTATTTATATAGCGCATCAATATTTAGACTCAAACAAAATCCCAAAACAAACATCAAAATGCAAGCGATATAAAAGTTATTTATAAAAAACTGTATATTTATACAGTTTACGTAAAATGTGTATATTCGTTCAAATGTAACGAATCTTGAGAGTCGTTCGATGTAAGAAATTGAATCGTGTAATT